TTAATTCTTCCCATATTACTGACCCATAGGCCAGCAGGAACACCCCTAATAGACCTATCCCTACTGGCTTAATTCTTCCCATATTACTGACCCATAGGCCAGCAGGAACACCCCTAATAGACCTATCCCTACTGGCTTAATACTTCCCATATTACTGACCCATAGGCCAGCAGGAACACCCCTAATAGACCTATCCCTACTGGCTTAATCTTCCATATTACTGACCATAGGCCAGCAGGACACACCCTAATAGACCTATCCCTACTGGCTTAATACTTCCCATATTACTGACCCATAGCCAGCAGGAACACCCTAATAGACCTATCCCTACTGCTTAATTCTTCCCATATACTGACCCATAGGCCAGCAGGAACACCCCTAATAGACCTATCCCTACTGGCTTAATTCTTCCCATAATACTGACCCATAGGCCAGCAGGAACACCCCTAATAGACCTATCCCTACTGGCTTAATACTTCCCATATTACTGACCCATAGGCCAGCAGGAACACCCCTAATAGACCTATCCCTACTGGCTTAATTCTTCCCATATTACTGACCCATAGGCCAACAGGAACACCCCTAATAGACCTATCCCTACTGCTTAATACTTCCCATATTACATGACCCATAGGCCAGCAGGAACACCCCAATAGACCTATCCTACTGGCTTAATTCTTCCCATATTACTGACCCATAGGCCAGCAGGAACACCCCTAATAGACCTATCCCTACTGGCTTAATACTTCGCATATTACTGACCCATAGGCCAACAGGAACACCCCTAATAGACCTATCCCTACTGGCTTAATTCTTCCCATAATACTGACCCATAGGCCAGCAGGAACACCCCTAATAGACTCTATCCTACTGGCTAATCTTCCCATAATACTGACCCATAGGCCAGTCAGGAACACCCCTAATAGACCTATCCCTACTGGCTTAATTCTTCCCATAATACTGACCCATAGGCCAGCAGGAACACCCCTAATAGACCTATCCCTACTGGCTTAATACTTCCCATATTACTGACCCATAGGCCAGCAGGAACACCCCTAATAGACCTATCCCTACTGGCTTAATTCTTCCCATAATACTGACCCATAGGCCAGCAGGAACACCCCTAATAGACCTATCCCTACTAGATTAAATCTCCCACATAAATTTAACCATGACCCATAGGCCAGCAGAAACAGTCCTAAATAGGCCTATTCCTACTGGATTAACTCTCCCCATTAATATAATATTGTATATGATGAAAAATGAGTACGAACCCTTTGCCAATTTTTATTATGACCCATGCGGGTTTAGCACTTCCCTGAATGTTAAAATAATCTGTCCTTCATGTAGAGTACTAGTGGTACAATAATCTGTCCTTCATGTAGAGTACTAGTGGTACAATAATCTGTCCTTCATGTAGAGTACTAGTGGTACAATAATCTGTCCTTCATGTAGAGTACAGAGTACTAGTGGTACAATAATCTGTCCATGTAGAGTACTAGTGGTACAATAATCTGTCCTTCATGTAGAGTACTAGTGGTACAATAATCTGTCCATGTAGAGTACTAGTGGTACAATAATCTGTCCATGTAGAGTACTAGTGGTACAATAATCTGTCCATGTAGAGTACTAGTGGTACAATAATCTGTCCATGTAGAGTACTAGTGGTACAATAATCTGTCCATGTAGAGTACTAGTGGTACAATAATCTGTCCATGTAGAGTACTAGTGGTACAATAATCTGGCCTTCATGTAGAGTACTAGTGGTACAATAATCTGGCCTTCATGTAGAGTACTAGTGGTACAATAATCTGTCCTTCATGTAGAGTACTAGTGGTACAATAATCTGTCCTTCATGTAGAGTACTAGTGGTACAATAATCTGTCCATGTAGAGTACTAGTGGTACAATAGTACCACTAGTACTCTGGTGGTGAGAGTGGTGCCCTGGAGAGAGGTTCCTTGAAGGTGGTAGTGAGGGTCTCTTGATCCAAGGAATGTGATCTATGCCTCCTGGAAGTGAACTTATCCTCCCAGGTGATCCATGACCCCCAAGGGTTGAGTGCTCCACCATGAGTAGTGACGGTGTAGTAGTGCCATCTAGTGGTGGTAGTCAGAGTTAGTCAGGTTATTAGTGATGGTGTTATAGTGAAGGTCAGGTCAGTGACCAACCTTAAGGTCACTAAAGGTCAGTTAACCTTCAATGGTCGTACAGGAGAGACGTGTTGCTCCTCCTGCTGTCCCGCCGGCTTTACCGCTTCCTCAGCCTCTTAATACACCTAAATAATTTAAGTATTGTCTTTTGATGTGTTTGTCGGTACAACAGCAGAGTTAAGCTGCAGCTCCTGGTCCCCACCACAAGTTTGTTCACTAAATTATTTAAACCTTAATTTTCTTTGGGGTCTTGGGGGGGACCTGGAGTTTACCTGGAGAGAGTTCCGGGGGTCAACGCCCCCGCGGCCCGGTCTGTTACCAGGCCTCCTGGTGGATCAGAGCCTATTACTGCTGGCTGCACGCAAACCAATGTACGAGCCACAGCCCGGCTGATCAGGAACTGACTTTAGGTGCTTGTCCAGTGCCAGCTTGAAGACTGCCAGGGGTCTGTTGGTAATCCCCCTTATGTGTGCTGGGAGGCAGTTGAACAGTCTCGGGCCCCTGACACTTATTGTATGGTCTCTTAACGTGCTAGTGACACCCCTGCTTTTCATTGGGGGGATGTTGCATCGTCTGCCAAGTCTTTTGCTTTCGTAGTGAGTGATTTTCGTGTGCAAGTTCGGTACTAGTCCCTCTAGGATTTTCCAGGTGTATATAATCATGTATCTCTCCCTCCTGCGTTCCAGGGAATACAGGTTTAGGAACCTCAAGCGCTCCCAGTAATTGAGGTGTTTTATCTCCGTTATGCGCGCCGTGAAAGTTCTCTGTACATTTTCTAGGTCGGCAATTTCACCTGCCTTGAAAGGTGCTGTTAGTGTGCAGCAATATTCCAGCCTAGATAGAACAAGTGACCTGAAGAGTGTCATCATGGGAGGGTTGATGCGAGGAACTGGAGCTACTCTCCTTCCTCTGATCAAACAATAACTCTCACACTAGGTCTTACATAATGTTCAATGTAGTTCCCAGTTATATTTTTTCCATTATTGAAAAATTAGTGAAGGCCTCTTGATCCAAGTAAGTTGCGCCTTGTGATCCAGATAGACGTCCACGTAGACAAATTGTTAGTTATCACGTTAATGTTAAAGAAAATAAAGATAGATTTACTATATTAAATATTAAGTTGGGAAAAGTAACATTGTCTCAGGGTGTTACAACGAGGACGAAGCGTTGAATGGACACACCAAACCCAATATTTTTACCAGTGATTTTCTCCATCAGGCGAGATGTATGCGGCTTTTTCTCACCGCCTGTATAGTGGTGGAGGTGGTCAAATGCTGACTCAAATGACAGCATATTATTATGGACCCATTGTGTTCGTTGCAGTGCAAACGGCACGTCGACAGCAAGAGGCACGTCGACAGCAAGAGGCACGTCGACAGCAAGAGGCACGTCGACAGCAAGAGGCACGTCGACAGCAAGAGGCACGTCGACAGCAAGAGGCACGTCGACAGCAAGAGGCACGTCGACAGCAAGATTGCCTCCAGAGACGGCATCTTGTTACTGTGTGTGGTGTGTAGGACGGCAGCTCACCGACTAGACCAAGTTGAAATAATAGCATACTATAATGGACTCATCGTGTTTATTACAACACAAACAGCAGGTCGAGAGTGCGAGGTCAGCTCAAGTGAAGGTATATTATCATGGACCCATCGTGTTTGTTTCGACACAAATGACACGTCGACAACAAGAGACCAACTCAAATGCTAGCATGTTCATTTGTTCATCTCAACACAAACCTCTCGATGTGTGGTTTGTGTCGAAACGAACATGATGGGTCCATAATACCTATGGTATTTGTGCTTAGGGATCTACTATAACTAACCACCTTAAACCATTAATAACCCAACAAAATGCTGTGTGTTGATCAGTTCCTGCGCCAGACAACACTTCCACTCTTCGCAATAAAGCGAACAGAATCCTTGGTTTATATCAAGAAGTATAAATATTAGAAGTCCTCGGGTTGAAGCACGGTCTGATCTCTAGTGGCTTTATTCTGCCTTGCTTACCGAGGAGTGCACTAATACCTATCACTGTACGTAGTGTACATACTTCTGTTCTTACTTGATGAAGGATAATGTAAGTCGAAAGTTTTTCTGCTGTGTTTATTTTGCTCCCATTACACTCAGGATAACAAGCCTTTGGATTACTGGGCTGTAATAGGGAGGATATGATCGAGGTGTATAAATGGAAAACAGGAATAAATAAAGGGGATGTAAATAGCGTACTAAAAATATCCAGCCAAGACAGGACTCGCAACAATGGTTTCAAGTTGGAAAAGTTCAGATTCAGGAAGGATATATGAAAGTACTGGTTTGGTAACACAGTTGTGGATGAGTGGAACAAACTCCCCAGTACAGTTAGAGGCTAAAACGTTCTGTAGTTTTAAAAATAGGTTAGATAAATACATGAATGGGTGCGGGTGGGTGAGAGTTGGACCTGACTAGCTTGTGCTACTAGGTCAGATGCCGTTCTCCTTAATGAATGTGACCTAACTTAACTAGGTTAGGGCTTAAGCTGGTGGGAGACTTGGACCTGCTTCGCATGGGCCAGTGGGCCTGCTGCAGTGTTCCTCCTTTTTCATGTTCTTCATGAGTTTGAACTTAATATACAAAACATGCACTCTTATTGTACTTACTATATACATAGAACCTTTAACTCCAGTATAAACCCTCCTCTCAAACTACTACTTAACAGTTATAACAGAACACAAGTTACAACACTCGCATTCCTCGTGTCCCTCTGGAAAGTTATTTGGTCCCCAAAAATTCCAGGAACCGGGTTCATTGTACCGGGTTCACTGGACCGGGTTCACTGTAGGAAAGTTTTAGGTTCCCTTAACATCCACCATAACAAACTAGATGACTGAGGCAGCGAGTTTGTTGATACATTTACCCTTCATGGAAGGTTTTAGGTAGGATTATTAGTAACTAATATTAGAATAATGTAGGCTTAGACCTTGATGTAGGCTTAGACCTTGATATAGGTAGGCTTAGACCTTAATATAGGTAGGCTTAGACCTTAATATAGGTAGGCTTAGACCTTAATGTAGGTAGGCTTAGACCTTAATATAGGTAGGCTTAGACCTTGATATAGGCTTAGACCTTGATATAGGCTTAGACCTTGATATAGGCCTAGACCTTGATATAGGCCTAGACCTTACCCCTTCAAGGCTGGCGACATTGCAGGCCTGGAGAATGTACAGAGAACTTTCACGTCACATAAATACGACAAGGCACCTAAATTACTGGGAACGGTTGAAGGCTCTTGATCCGTATTCCCTGGAACACAGGCGAGAGAGATACATGATAATATACACATGGAAGGTCCTGGAGAGATTGGTACCAAACTGACACACGAAAATCACTCCATATGACAGCAAAAGACCGGGCAGGAGATGTAACATTATCCTGATGAACAGCATCGGTGCCACGAATACACTGAGACAACAGTAAGTGTCAGGGGCCCAAGACTGTTCAACTGCCTCCCACCATACATAGGGGGGATTACCAATAGACCCCTGACTGTCTTCAAGACCCCTGACTGTCTTCAAGACCCCTGAGTCTGTCTTCAAGACCCCTGACTGTCTTCAAGACCCCTGATGTCTTCAAGACCCCTGACTGTCTTCAAGACCCCTGGTTGTCTTCAAGACCCCTGACTGTCTTCAAGACCCCTTGACTTGTCTTCAAGACCCCTGGCTGTCTTCAAGACCCCTGGTTGTCTACAAGACCCCTGACTGTCTTCAAGACCCCTGGCTGTCTTCAAGACCCCTGGTTGTCTTCAAGACCCCTGACTGTCTTCAAGACCCCTGGCTGTCTTCAAGACCCCTGGTGTCTTCAAGACCCCTGTCTTCAAGACCCCTGGTTGTCTACAAGACCCACCTGACTGATTTTCAAGACCCCTGGTTGTCTTCAAGACCCCTGTCTTCAAGACCCCTGGTTGTCTTCAAGACCCCTGGTTGTCTTCAAGACTCCTGGTTGTCTTCAAGACTCCTGGTTGTCTTCAAGACTCCTGGTTGTCTTCAAGACTCCTGGTTGTCTTCAAGACCCCTGGTTGTCTTCAAGACCCCTGACTGTCTTCAAGACTCCTGGTTGTCTTCAAGACCCCTGACTTCAAGACTCCTGGTTGTCTTCAAGACCCCTGACTGTCTTCAAGACCCCTGGTTGTCTTCAAGACTCTCAGTTGTCTTCAAGACCCCTGGTAGTCTTCAAGACCTCTGGTAGTCTTCAAGACCCCTGGCTGTCTTCAAGACCCCTGGTTGTCTACAAGACCCCTGACTGTCTTCAAGACCCCTGACTGTCTTCAAGACCCCTGGTTGTCTTCAAGATCCCTGACTTTCTTCAAGACCTCTGACTGACTTCAAGACCCCCTGGTTATCTTCAAGACTCCTGGTTGTCTTCAAGACCCCTGGTTGTCTTCAAGACCCCTGGTAGTCTTCAAGACCCCTGGTTGTCTTCAAGACCCCTGGTAGTCTTCAAGACCCCTGGTTGTCTTCAAGACCCCTGGTAGTCTTCAAGACTCCCGGTTGTCTTCAAGACCCCTGGTTGTCTTCAAAACCCCTGGTTGTCTTCAAAACCCCTGGTAGTCTTCAAGACCTCTGGTAGTCTTCAAGACCCCTGGTTTGTCTTCAAGACCCCTGACTGTCTTCAAGACCCCTGACTGTCTTCAAGACCCCTGGTTGTCTTCAAGACCCCTGACTGTCTTCAAGACCCCTGGTTGTCTTCAAGACTCCTGGTTGTCTTCAAGACTCCTGGTTGTCTTCAAGACCCCTGGTTGTCTTCAAGACCCCTGGTTGTCTTCAAGACCCCTGGTAGTCTTCAAGACCCCTGGTTGTCTTCAAGACCCCTGGTTGTCTTCAAGACCCCTGGTTGTCAAGACCCCTGGTTGTCTTCAAACCCCCTGGTTGTCTTCAAGGCCCCTGGTTGTCTTCAAGACCCCTGGTTGTCTTCAAGACCCCTGGTTCTCTTCAAAACCCCTGGTTGTCTTCAAAACCCCTGGTTGTCTTCAAGACCCCTGGTAGTCTTGAAGACCCCTGGTTGTCTTCAAGACCCCTGGTTGTCTTCAAGACCCCTGGTTGTCAAGACCCCTGGTTGTCTTCAAGACCCCTGGTTGTCTTCAAGACCCCTGGTTGTCTTCAAAGCCCCTGGTTGTCTTCAAGATCCCTGGTTGTCTTCAAGACCCCTGGTTGTCTTCAAGACCCCTGGTTGTCAAGACCCCTGGTTGTCTTCAAGACCCCTGGTTGTCTTCAAGGCCCCTGGTTGTCTTCAAGGCCCCTGGTTGTCTTCAAGGCCCCTGGTTGTCTTCAAGATCCCTGGTTGTCTTCAAGAAGGCACTGGACAGGCCCTTAGTACCTGACCAGCCAGACTGTGGTTCGTACGTCGGGTGCATGCTGCCGACAGTAACAGCCTGGTTGATCAGACCCTGATCCACCATAAGGCCTGGTCTCAGACCGAGCCACGGGGGCGTTTACCCCCGAAACCCTGTCCAAGTAAACTCCAGGTAAAGTGAAGTATCAGCCCCCAGCTTGAAGGGAGGTGGGGGGGGGGGGTCTGACACCAGCACGTTCTTCTAGACTTGCCCCTCAAGGAAGGTTCCTTGATGCTGGTGAGGGGCTCTTGATCCAAGGCCCCTCAAGGAAGGTTCCTTGATGCTGGTGAGGGGCTCTTGATCCAAGGCCCCTCAAGGAAGGTTCCTTGATGCTGGTGAGGGGCTCTTGATCCAAGGCCCCTCAAGGAAGGTTCCTTGATGCTGGTGAGGGGCTCTTGATCCAAGGCCCCTCAAGAAAGGTTCCTTGATCCAAGACCCCTCAAGGAAGGTTCCTTGATGCTGGTGAGGGGCTCTTGATCCAAGGCCCCTCAAGGAAGGTTCCTTGATGCTGGTGAGGGGCTCTTGATCCAAGGCCCCTCAAGGAAGGTTCCTTGATGCTGGTGAGGGGCTCTTGATCCAAGGCCCCTCAAGGAAGGTTCCTTGATGCTGGTGAGGGGCTCTTGATCCAAGGCCCCTCAAGAAAGGTTCCTTGATCCAAGACCCATCAAGGAAGGTTCCTTGATGCTGGTGAGGGGCTCTTGATCCAAGGCCCCTCAAGGAAGGTTCCTTGATGCTGGTGAGGGGCTCTTGATCCAAGCCCCCTCAAGGAAGGTCCCTTGATGCTGGTGAGGGGCTCTTGATCCAAGCCCCCTCAAGAAGGTCCCTTGATGCTGGTGAGGGGCTCTTGATCCAAGCCCCCTCAAGGAAGGTTCCTTGATGCTGGTGAGGGGCTCTTGATCCAAGGCCCCTCAAGGAAGGGTCCTTGATGCTGGTGAGGGGCTCTTGATCCAAGGCCCCTCAAGGAAGGGTCCTTGATGCTGGTGAGGGGCTCTTGATCTTGAGAACTGGACCTGTGCTCCAGTTCCCTGAATTAAGCTTGAATACCGTCCATCCCCCTCCACAGGTGTTGTATAATCCTCCGGGTTTAGCACTTCACCATTATTATAATAATAGTGCCTCACTGCATAAATATTGCTTAAGGAATACCCATTAAATTCAGGGATGTTTAAGGTGCAGGCAGGGATACTAATACCATCTTTAAGGTGCAGAGAGGGATACTAATACCATCTTTAAGGTGCAGGCAGGGATACTAATACCATCTTTAAGGTGCAGAGAGGGATACTAATACCATCTTTAAGGTGCAGGCAGGGATACTAATACCATCTTTAAGGTGCAGAGAGGGATACTAATACCATCTTTAAGGTGCAGGCAGGGATACTAATACCATCTTTAAGGTGCAGGCAGGGATACTAATACCATCTGAATACTTGCAGGAATAAGTCCTTCACTGCAGGTGGTGTCCTGGAGAGGGACCTGAGGTATCTAGGTTTGCTTGGGCAGAATCGGGATTTCTAGTAGCATATTCTCCACCTCCAGGTAAGTCAGTCTTTTGTGCATGGAGTTGGGAATTTCTTGTAAGTTCAATTTAAATATGGAAATGTGTCCTAAAAGCCATTTGTGAGATTGAGATGACTAATTTCAGGGTGTCTGTGTCTACAGTCTTCAAGAAGGTGCTGGACAGGCATCTAAAGTCAGTACTTGACCAGCTGGGTTGTGGTTCGTACGTTGGGTTGCGTGTAGCCAGCAGTTACAGCCTGGTTGATCAGACCCTGAGCCACCACGAGGCCTTGTCACAGACCGGGCCGCGGGGGCATTGACCCCTGAAACCCTCTCCAGGTAAACTCCAGGTATACGTTACTTGCTAGGGTGAGTATCACACAAGGAGGCTCCATACACAATTTCCACAGATACAATGCCCCAAGATCTGGAATTCATTGCCCGAACCAGCAAAAGGTTCTCTGTCTGTCACTCGGTTTACAACTGTTATTAAAAGTCCCCATCTCTTAAATATAACTATACAGATCATAGAACCAGTTTGAAACTACTCCAGGAATCCCAGTTAACTTAACATCAATAAATCAATTTACAGTATCAATACACACTTAAAATTGTACTATTGTAAATTGTGCTAATTGTAATAATTTTTTTGCTACTTCTCAACTATAAATTTTATTAATTGAAATTTTTTGAATGCATTAAAATTCACCACTGTAAAACCTATGTTTAGTTTTAAGTAGTGTGCAAACATTATAATTAACCTGCCCGAAATGCTCATGCATGCTGTGGCTGTGTTTAACAATAGTTTATTACATGTAAACTACACACTGTATACTATGCTAAGAAATAAAAAAAATTATTTTGAAAATCAGATGTTATTACCAAGATAGTGGACTGGTGTGGGTGGCATCCTGGGGGACAATATAAACCTAATTTGCCAGAAATGCTTTGTATAACCAGGGGCTTCCTATATAATATATCAGTGATGTCACATATGGTCTGTATAAGTTGTATCATAAACTTGTAGAAATAAAGATTATTATTACTTATCAAACATAGGGAAGAAGTAGCAGCAGGAACATGTAAGAATATTTCAGAATATTTGGTAATGTCTCCATGGGGAAGTGGAACAGAGTTCTTCCTCTGTAAGTCATGAATGTCATAAGAGGCGACTAAAATGCCAGGAGCAAGGAGCTGATAACTCCTCCTCCTGTATATAATACTAAATTTAAAAAGAAAAACTTAAGTTTTTCTTTTTGAGCCACCCAGCCTCAGTGGGATATGGCTGGTTTGTTAAAAGATGATGATGATTTGGTAATGTGGCTACTCATTATTTGACACATTTCATTATGATGGATAGTGAAGGTGCTAGTTACTATCTATGATGTTCTACTTAATATTCTCGTACAGTTTTAATTTCCATGGCATGCTTTGCATGGCACTAAAGTTTAAGGCGAGTTTGCATTGCATACATGAGGCAGATACAGCAGCTGAGAAGTGACCACCCCAACCTGCACTACCACACTGCTACAGTTATCATACATAGTGTAAATTACCCACCATAATCCCAAAAAATCAGTGACTTATTTCCATTGTGGTCTTTGTTTTCCATTCTAATTGCCAGACATAATGAGGGCAAATTCCTTGGCCTATACCTCAACAACAACCTAAATTTCAGCACCCATATCCAACACATAACAAAAAAAGAATCCAAACCGGTGGGGATCCTCTCCAAGATACGATACTACGTGCCGCAAACTGCACTTCTCACACTATACCATTCACTTATATATCCATACCTCACCTATGCTATCTGTGCTTGGGGTTCAACTGCATCAACACACCTAAAGCCAACAAACCCAACAAAAAGCCGCAGTAAGAATAATCGCTAAATCCCATCCCTGGCAACACACCCCCCCACTCTTCATAGATCTAAATTTACTCCCTGTTCAGAACATCCACACTTACTACTGTGCAATCTATATCTACAGAACCTTAAATTCCAGTATTAACCTTGACCTAAAATGCTTTCTTGATAGTTGTGACAGGATCCACAGGCATAACACCAGACACAAAAATCTCTATGACATTCCCTGTGTTCGACTAAACCTTTACAAAAATTCAATGTACATATTTCAAAGGACCTAAAATCTGGAACACCCTACCTGAAAACTCTAGAACTGCAGACACACTCATCACTTTCAAAACTACAGTTAGAAAACATCTTATCTCCCTGATCCACCCTGACAACTAACTACATGATAACCACCTGGTGGTTCACAATTACACTCACTCACCCACTGACTATAAACCCAGAAATACTAATCTTAATCTTAAAATAATAATTCCTAACTTGTCATAAGTTTGCCTATGATACTCTAATATAGTCACTTTGTATTGTGCCAAAACAAAAACATTCACATTGCTAAACTCACAAATTATGATGTAGTCACTTAGCCTTAATACCATAATCTTTAAGGATTTAATGTTAAGAATTAATCTAAGTCTGCCCGAAATGCCTAGCCATGCTAGGTGTCCTAGTGGCCCCCTCTGTAATTAGTATTTTATAATATGTAAACCACACAATACCCAAAACCTGTAAACCCCACATTGTAACCCTTATAGAGAATAAACTTGAATTGAATTGAATTAGGATCCTTGATTCCCATTCCCGGTGCAGAACTCGTACAATTCGGATTTCGAGCACTTTTGGCAAAATTTCCCCCAGGTTTTGTATGTCCGCTTGGAAATCGTCTGTTTCAGACGTGTCTGCCTGGGCTGCTCATGCATTCATGATTCACTCTTGGGCACATTAAATGTCTTATTTTACATTAATATAGACATTATCGTTAATCCATCTATTATAGTATTTTCTTCAAAATTATATAAGAAACACATTACATAGCATACAAACATGCAGTACAGTGGACCCCCGCATACCGTTGGCATCACATAACGTTAAATCCTCATACCGATACATTTTATCGCTAAAATTTTGCCTCGCACACCGCTAAAAAACCCGCTCAATGCTATTCGTCCGAGACGCGTCTAATGTGCGGCCTGAGCCAGCCTCACATGTTCCGCTGGTGGCATTGTTTACCAGCCAGCCTCCGCGGTAACATCCAAGCATACAATCGAAACATTTTGTATTATTACAGTGTTTTTGGTGATTTTATCTGCAAAATAAGTGACCATGGGCCCCAAGAAAGCTTCTAGTGCCAACCCTACAGGAATAAGGGTGAGAATTACTATAGAGATGAAGAAAGAGATCATTGCTAAGTATGAAAGTGGAGTGCGTGTCTCCGAGCTGGCCAAGTTGTATAGTAAACCCAATCAACCATTGCTACTATTGTGTCCAAGAAAATGGCAATCAAGGAAGCTGTTCTTGCCGAAGATTCAACTGTGTTTTCGAAACAGAGATCGCAAGTGATAGAAGATGTTGAGAGACTCTTATTGGTGTGGATAAATGAAAAACAGATAGCAGGAGATAGCATCTCTCAAGTGATCATAAGTGAAAAGGCTAGAAAGTTGCATGAGGATTTAATTAAAAAAATGCCTGCAACTAGCAATGATGTGAGTGAATTTAAGGCCAGCAAAGGTTGGTTTGAGAGATTTAAGAAGCATAGTGGCATACAGTGTGATAAGGCATGGTGAGGCTGCCAGTTCAGACCACAAAGCAGCTGAAAAATATGTGCATGAATTCAAGGAGTACATAGACAGTGAAGGACTGAAACCTGAACAAGTGTTTAATTGTGACGAAACAGGCCTGTTTTGGAAGAAAATGCCAAGCAGGACCTACATTACTCAGGAGGAAAAGGCACTCCCAGGACATAAGCCTATGAAAGACAGGCTTACTCTTCTCATGTGTGCCAATGCTAGTGGTGATTGCAAAGTGAAGCCTTTATTAGTGTATCACTCTGAAACTCCCAGAGCATTCAGGCAAAAGAATATCCTCAAGGCTAATTTGTGTGTGCTGTGGAGGGCAAACAATAAGGCATGGGTCACTAGGGACTTTTTCTATGACTGGTTACACCAAGCATTTGCCCCCAATATGAAAAATTACCTAACTGAAAAGAAATTAGACCTTAAGTGCCTCCTGGTGTTAGACAATGCCCCTGGTCATCCTACACACTTGGCAGAGCGACTTTGTGGGGACATGAGCTTCATTAAGGTGAAGTTTTTGCCTCCTAATACCACTCCTCTCCTGCAGCCCATGGACCAGCAGGTTATTGCAAACTTCAAAAAACTGTACACAAAAGCTCTGTTTGAAAGGTGCTTTGTAGTGACCTCAGAAACTCAATTGACTCTAAGAGAGTTTTGGAGAGATGACTTTAATATCCTCAATTGTGTAAACCTTATAGGTAAGGCTTGGGAGGGAGTGACTAAGAGGACCTTGAACTCTGCTTGGAAGAAACTGTGGCCAAAATGTGTAGACCAAAGGGATTTGAATGGTTATGAGGCTAACCCTGGGAATCCTATGCCAGTTGAGGATCCATTGTGGCATTGGGAAAGCCCTTGGGGTTGGAGGTTAGTGGGGATGATGTGGAAGAGTTGGTGGAGGAGGACAATGATGAACTAACCACTGATGAGCTGCTAGATCATCTTCATCAGCATGAGGCCACACCTGAGGAAACGGCTTCGGAGAGGGGAGAGAGAAATTGAAGAAGTTGCCTACTTCAAAGATTAAGGAAATGTGTGCAATGTGGCTTAAAGTGCAAACCTTTTTTGATGACAATCACACTAACACAGCTATTGCAAGCCGTGCTGGTGACTGTTACACTGACAATGTTGTGAAACACTTTAGGAAAGTCATAAAGGAACAGGAGGTACAGGCCTCTATGGACAGATATGTTGTGCGACAGAAGTCCAGTGACTCTGAAGCTGGTCCTAGTGGCATTAAAAGAAGAAGGGAAGCAACCCTGGAAAAGGACTTGACACCTCAAGTCTTAATGGAAGGGGATTCCCCTTCTAAACACTAAGACTCTCTCCTCTTCCCATCCCATCAATCATCACCAGATCTTCAATAAAGGTAAGTGTCATGTAACTGTGCATGTCTTTTTCAGTTTGTGTGTATTAAAATTAATATTTCATGTGGTAAAAATTTTTTTTTTTCATACTTTGGGGTGTCTTGCACGGATTAATTTGATTTCCATTATTTCTTATGGGGAAAATTCTTTCGCATAATGATAATTTCGCATAACAATGAGCTCTCAGGAACGGATTAATATCGCTATGCGGGGGTCCGCTGTATTTATATGCTATCGAGGGGTGGTAGTCAGTGGAGGGAAAATGTTGTTTTCTCTGGTCCAGCATTAGAGAAAACTGTATGAATCTACATCTGGCCCAGTCACCACCGTTAATACATAACACTTTTGTTTACAATTCTCGGCATGAATTATTCATTACTTCTCCCTTTGTGATGAGATTTTAAGGTAGTTGTCAGAAACGATTAAACTCAGTGAACATGGTATGTCGATGGTAATATGGCTTTGGGTGGCAGTAGGTGCAGCCCAGGCGGGCTACACCTACCAGCTACCTACACTGACTTCCTACAAATAAATACTACACACCTCTCACCCTACATTAAGACTACAAATATTTTAAGGTAAGTAATGAATGTACTGTGTATGTACAGTAGGGCCCCGCTTTACAGCATTCCACTAATACGGCATTTCAAATTATGACCAAAATTCTCTATACGGTGAATGATCTTTCAAATACAGCGCGAGCCACCCTGTTTACATTATCCGTGAGCACCTCTCTCTATTATGTAATAATCACTTTTGGGCACCTTCAATGTCCTGCTTTACATCAGTATAGACATTTTCATTAACCCTTTGACTGTCGCGGCCGTATATATACGTTTGCGAGGTACCGTGTTTGACGTATATATACTCATAAATTCTAGCGGCTTCAAATCAGGCAGGAGAAAGCTAGTAGGCCCACATGTGAGAGAATGGGTCTGTGTGGTCAGTGTGCACCACATAAAAAAAATCCTGGAGCACGCAGTGCATAATGAGAAAAAAAAAACTCCGACCGTTTTTTTTAATTAAAATGCCGACTTGTGGTCTATTTTCGTATAGTATTTGTGGTTGTATTTCTCGTTTTCTTGGTCTCATTTGATAGAATGGAAACTATATATGAAATGGAGGTGATTTTGATTATTTTACTATAAAAAGAACCTGGAAATGGAGCACAAAGTACAGGAAATGTTTGATTTTTGCCGATGTTCAAAAGTGAACAAATGATGTCATTGTCCAATAAATGTCCAAATAGCCATTCTAATACGCAGTCATGAATGGGTTGATGTAATTTTTACAATTATTACAGTATTGCAGTAGTCTGCATAACAGTAAATCTCTATTTTTTGTTTGAATAAAATTTCAAAATAAAAAGCAAGAGTAATATCACAGGGACCTGGAGACACGACTGATGAACAAAGAAAATGTTATTTTAGAACCAGGAATGTCTGCATTGTTCATTCTGGACCTTATTTTGAAATTGTCGTATTTTTAATTTTCGTGAAATTGGCCAAATTGCAAATTTCTGACCATGTTAATTGGGTAGTTGAAATCGGTAATGGGCAGTTTCTTGTACTCAATCGATAGAAAAAAATAGAGTTCTGAAGAAATAGTTATGAGTTTGGTTGACTGGAATAAAGGAATTAGCCGAAAATAGGGCTCAAAGTGGGCGAAATTGCCGATTTTTAAATATCGCCGAAGTCGCTAACTTCGCGAGAGCGTAATTCCGTCAGTTTTCCATCAAATTTCGTTTTTTTGGTGTCTTTACAATCGGGAAAGATTCTCTATCATTTCATAAGAAAAAATAATTTTTTTTTTTTTCGAATATTTTGCGACACCAGAAGCAACTTCAGGATTTGGCCCTTCGACAGTCAAAGGGTTAATTCATCTATGATATTTTCCTCAAAATTATGTATATAAAAAACACGTTACATAGCATATAAACATGCAGTTTATATGCTATGGAGGTGTGGCAGCCGGGTGGAGGGATAACATTGTCACTTCCCTTAATACATAATGCTTTTGTTTACAATTCTCGGCATGAATTATTCTCCCTTTGTTTATGATGGCACCTAAAGGTAGTTGATAGAAACGATTAAACTCAATTGCAGTGTCAGACACTAACTTCTTGGGATCTTAATACTTGGGAATTCTTCACTTGCCTAACCTTTGGGCACGACTTACTTCCACATTGGTCAAATGTGACACCACCTATGACTGCTGCACCTCTCCTGCCTAGGGCATATAAGCTACTTCTCTGCAGATATACTGTAATCTTTTGAAGATTGAGGGACTGACCACATCAATAACATCAATAACATTACTTGGCAGTGTCAAGAAGAACACTGTTGATTACCACCAGCAACTGCAGTGACAACAAACATCAATCTACTAGTTGAACACAGTTGACTGTGCCATAATATGATCATATTATAAATATAAAATGTTGATATAGAAAAAGATAGTTAAGTCACTGTAACTGGCATTGCTGATTACATAAAAAAATTCCACAATGTAAATGCATACAGCAGTAAGTCAGTTAAGTCAGTGTGATGTACTTACACTGTGTGTTGGTATTATTTAGGACAGTTAAGTCAGTGTAATGTACTTACACTGTGTGTTGGTATTATTTAGGTCAGTTAAGTCAGTGTGATGTACTTATATTGTGTGTTGGTATTATTTAGGTCAGTTAAGTCAGTGTGATGTACTTACACTGTGTGTTGGTATTATTTAGGACAGTTAAGTCAGTGTGAGTACTTACACTGTGTGTTGGTATTATTTAGGACAGTTAAGTCAGTGTGATGTACTTACACTGTGTGTTGGTATTATTTAGGACAGTTAAGTCAGTGTGATGTACTTACACTGTGTGTTGGTATTATTTAGGACAGTTAAGTCAGTGTAATGTACTTACACTGTGTGTTGGTATTATTTAGGACAGTTAAGTCAGTGTGATGTACTTACATAGTGTGTTGGTATTAT